AGCCCTTAAGAAATAGCGTCAGGAGTGAAATGCACACAGGGACCGGAACCGAGTGAATTCGGTCAACCAGAAAGATAATAAACAGATCCACAAGACAATGAAGGGATCCGGATTGGAGGCCAGAGTCGGATAAGCCGATAGAAAGAGAGTGGTTGGGATAGATACCAAGTGTGATGGGGCCACAGTAGAATTGCGATAAAAGGACACACATTTTGATGACTGAAATGTAAACAAGTAAGAAGTTGTGATAGGGCGACAATGGGATAAGAGGGTAAAGATTAGATAGATAGGCCAGGACAGAAAGAGGAGTGATAGTGTTCCTGTTTTCGGCAGAACATTTGTCGAGGGATTGGCTTCACTTGTCTCTTTGACGAGTTCGGAGCTTGGTGCGGCGAATGACAACACTCACTGATGATGCCGACTACGATGCTAGCGAAATGTTTGAGAATGTATCAAGTCCACTGTCTGATGCTGGGAATCAAGACAACTACTATGGCAGACGACTTCGGACTCGGTTTCTTCTACATAGTCTCCCTGAACACAAGACCAAGTTGCGACAACGAGTTCAACCCACTTCTATAAATCAAAAGGAGATTGCGACCTTAACAGAGGCCACAACATGTTGGTCTTCATATCTTCAATTAGCGTAATTCATTTGCCTGAAGCTCAAGAAAAAAAAGACAGACACTTGAATACCGTCAAGAATTCATATGAATTTTCTCAAAGGATCCAGAACATTGGGTTGGTGAGGTCGGAACTGTTGGTGACTTTCGATGTACAAACAAACGTGCATACACAACGTATCACGCCAGAAGTCGGTTTGCGTCTTGCTGGAGATTTTGGAGCGAGAAGAGGACAACCCGGTGGCAAAACGGATATGCAAAGAATCGTTAACACAATTGATCAACCTGATAGTAAGGACCACATATTTTACATTAAACGGCAGTATCTACTAGCAAATATTTGGACTGCCGATAGGATCTCCACTATCACCTCTTTTGGCAAATGTATACATGGACAAATTGGAAAGGAAATTTGTGAGGTCACCACTGCAACCAAGAGTGCTTATGCGATATTTGGATGACTACTTTGCACCTTGGTCACATTGTAAGGAAAATCTAAATGAATTCCTTAATTTTATTTACCAACTTGATGAAAGAATTAAATTCAAAATGGAGGTGGAGAAGGATGAACTACTACCCTTTCTGGATATTAAAGTCATACTCTTCAATGAGACACTCATGAGCAGACTATACAGAAGAAATTCATATGCGGGAATAATCCTTAATTTTCAGTCTCATTATAACTACAGACTGAAGATCGAAATATTGGGGAGTTTGATCATCAGAAGTTTGCGACTTACGGACAATGAGTTCTGGGACGAGTAGTTAGACAAACTTACACGGATTTCCCTTAGTAACAGATATCCTAGAGCATTTATAGAAAAAAATGTAGGGATTATA